TGTGCGCGCGCTGTGTCCAGTGTAATTTTTCTGTTTTCTTCTCCTGTTGTAACGATTTTCCTACTGAACTCGAGCGGATATTGATTGTTCCCGGAGCTCTTGTTCTTTGCTTTGGTGCATCAGTGGTACACGTTGTTCACTTGAGCAGATTCAGGCTTGCAGTTGCAGTATAGTCCTTTGTGGTTTCTAAGTACTTTCTAAGTTTTCATTCCCCGATTCTGTGAATATTCCCAAAAGGCAAATGTCCGTTGAAATTAGTCTGCACTGTGAATCTGGATCGTCAAGGTTCTGAATCTACACTGTGAGCAGATTCAGACTTGCAGTATAGTCCTTTGTTGATTGTGTTGCTTCCTCTTCGTCCTCCCTGAATTTGCCGAGGTGCGGAGAAATTTATCTCGCCTTTCTATAACCTAATCTCCTCGTCCCGTTGACTCCTCTCAACTCTTCTGTAGTCTGGACTCATTTGCTGTCTTTTTTTTTCCTCATCATCATTTCTGATTAACACTCTTCACAGTTCAGCTGTGTCCACTGTCCAGTTCCACCGGGGAGTTGACCGAACCTGTCTTATATTGCCGGTAAGTCACTCTCTTGCATTGGATCCAAACAAGCGACTGTAGCAGGATACTAATTGTTCATTATAGTCAGGATAAGCATACAGTTCTTGCGATTTCGCATCATTTTTGTACATGATAAAACAGAGCTGGAGCAGATTGTTTACTTAGGAGTGCTTAGATGTTGTTTCTTTTGGTTTCAACTGCAGTTCTTGATATTGGGATTGCCTATTTATCCCTTTTGCTTCTTCGCAAGATTATGTAATCTCTATACTTATATAGTTTGCCCTGAGATGGGACAAGGGGGACCAAGAGTTTGGTATCGCTAAATCTAGATTTACGAGGAAGTAAATCTATTCTATTCACAGAGTTTATTTTTTCTTCTTCGTTATTCCTTTAGTTTGCATCACCGACGTAGAAAGTTAGTAAAACAAGACTGAAACCATCAGGAAATGCCCACTGCCATTAAAGAGCAACTGTTATCATCTTCCATGTTTTAATTGTTTTGACCAACTCTTGAGTTTTATAGCAGCGAGACGACCAAGAGTCGTTCGATATTGCTTTTTAGTCTCCTGTGTGGCTGTACCACGGATCCAAGTGTTAGGACGTACCTTTTTTTTTTTTATCGAAAGGACGTACCTATTTTTTACAGTATTGGTCATATACCGCTCTACCCGACGTCCCGTAATTAGATCAGCTCCGTAATTTTTTATCTTTCTTGATTATTACATGAAAATTATATTCCTTGTGGTTCGTGTTTGAAGGTCACATTTATACATGATGAGTACGTACAAAATGGATTATGAAGCTAGCATGCACGATGTCTTGGAGCGCTTGCTACATTATGAAAGTGCAAAGCCATGTGCACTGCCACTATCACTTCTAAGAGCCATCACAAATAATTTCAATGGTGCTTGGGAAATTGAAAGGGGTGAGTTTGCTGCGGTTTACAAGGTACAGTACTATGTACCAATACCGAATACACTCTGTTTGGGTTATTGTTGGCCTAAAAGGCTGCTGTGATGGTAGGGTGTGCTTCGAAATGGAACAGTCGCTGTGAAGAACATGTATCCGGATCCGCGAGATGGTGAGCAAAGATTCCAAAATGAGCTCAGTTGTCACATGGGGTTGAAGCACAAGAATATAGTCCGATTACTGGGATATTGTGCTGAAGCACAGTGGGAGATGATGGAGTACGAGGGAAAAATGATCTTTGCACAAAAGCCTGAAAGGTTGCTCTGCATTGAATATCTGAGAGGAGGGAACCTTGCTAAGTATATCACTGGTACGAGGATCGTGTGACACGTAATGTTCATTTCTATTTTTATTTCCTCTGTTGAAACAGTCAGAACCATGCACCGCGCGCACATATATAGTGGCAATTACTTTGTATATCAAGTATATGGGAGAATAAGAGCACCATCTGTTAATAATCAAATTCTGTTTATGGAGGTTTAGCTTTTCTAATTTGTTTATTCTCGCCCATTACAGATGCCTCTCATGGATTTGGCTGGAAAAAACGCTACAAAATAATCAAAGGAATTTGTGAGGGCTTATCTTATCTACACCAAAACCTTACTATTCACTTAGATCTTAAACCTGCCAATATATGCCTGGATGAAAAAATGGTGCCAAAAATATGTGATTTTTATTGCTCCAGGCGCATTGAGGAAAAGCAAAGCGAGCTTATCGTGGATAAAATAATGGGGATGTGGTAAGTAAGCTTGATTCTCAAGATGGTTTTTTCCTAGTTGGGTAATAATCATGTTACGTCTGTATCGATAAATTAAGCACATAGTACAAATTTTCATGCAGGGGATATATTGCACCTGAAGTCTTAGATAACAGAGTGGTCACATTGAAGGCGGACATATACAGCCTTGGTGTTCTAATCATGGAGATACTGACAGGGCAGAAGGAATATTGCGTAGTAGAGAATGTAAGAACAACTAAAATACGTGACTATACCAGATGAAGGTTCTATATATGGATAATTATGGCATGTTTGAACATGTGCGTAACTCTAGGTGAAAAATCAAGTACTGAAAATAAAGTTTAGCTGCGAAAGGTGAAAACGCATTAAAACATGTACCATAACTCTATAAGAAATAATGATGATAGTCTATTATCACGAGAAATTTTCCTCCTTATTACCTTCATTTTTGAAGAATCTATGTTGTTAGTTTGATGCTTGAATGACATGCACGATTTGCATTCTAGCATCTATATATTTGCCTTTTATGTGGTATCACATGACTATTTAATTTTCCATATGAAAAGATATCTTCAGTTTCATTAAAAGCAGTTAATCATTGCCATTTTATAGGTACTCGAAAGCTGGGCTGACAGATTGGGAACATCACTAGAAGACACTGCGCTTGGAACAAATACGAGTATGTGCTGAGATTGCCATAAGTTGCTGCTACCGTGACCCTGAGAAGAGACCAGATGCAGGGCATATAATCAAGATGCTCGATGAAACGGAAAGTACGGATCAGTTTACCGAACCTGATAAAAAGGAATCTGTGGACGAGTTTAAACCTGATGAACAGGTCAGTGTGCCCAGGTGAATGGGTCAGAATATTAATAACAATAATAATTGCACATGGCTCTAAATTAAAGCTTCATACCTTACTGTTTGACCTACGTCTCTCTAAAACTGCCTGTGATGGCTCCCTAAACATGCATTGCCTCAAAATATTATGTTGACAGATAAAAAAGTGTTAGTTGACAACACTTTGTGCTATATATAGCTAGTCGCAGGTCGTGCAAAAAAAAGTTATTTACTAATTATAAGCTTATATATTACTCCCTCCATGCTAAATTATAAGACATTTGGGCCTTTCTAAATACAAACTTTTTCGTATACATTTAGATATACACTATGTCTATGTATATAGTAAAGTTAATGTATCTAAAAAGCCAAAACATCTTATAATTTGAAATGGATGGAGCATTTGAGAGCCACAATTTTCATTCAATATTTCTTCTGTCTGTTTCATATAATATTTCTGAACTTAATTTTTAATACCTTGTTACAAACATGTAAACTAGCTCTTATTTTCTATAACCTCACATGAAAACTTAAGCATTGCATACATTATCGTTTCACCATATAATACCTACTCTTAGACATCAACATATATTGCAATCTCTACATGAAAACTTAAGCATTGCATTCCTACTCTTTTCACCGTATATTTTTGTATTATTATTACGCAAATCTTTCAACTTTGGATTGAGTTGGTCCACATGAAAGCTGGGAAGCTTATATTAGTGAATTTCATATGTCATAACAGTTAACATTATTTAGTACATAAGCACTGCAAGTATTATCATTTCATCATGTTGTTAACATCTTTATCCCTTTTCATATCGATTATGAGTACTACAAATTATGATGAGTGAGTCAGCAGGAAAAGAATTGTACCTTATAAATTGTTGTTGTCAAATTAAAGTAAATAAGATTTGGCCATCTAGATAATGTCAGAAAATGGCAATATAAAGTTCGTGACCTCATCGAGAGCTATAATGTTCTTATAAAAATGATCTCCTACTACATAACAGTAAACCACTTTGGCCTGAGGTGCTAGTCCAACTTGTATATTATCAAAGGCTCATGCGTGCTTGCCAGGTAGCCGATGTGCTGTTTGATAATGTGAGCATGAGCCTATGTTTTGGCACCAATACTCACTGTCCATATTGGCACAACATGAGTGACACATATAGTATTAGTGCCATCATTGAACATAGTCCAACATGGGTATACCTCTATATATACACGTGCGTTTGTCGCTGCATCCATGTCCCCTCACTCCTCTTGGATATGGGAGGAGGGGAATGGAGTGGACCAGAAATGGTAGTGGATAGATTTGGGAGAAGATGGTGTTGAAGAATACCGTTTGAGGGATTGTAATAAAATTTTGAAGTTTTTATACGCAATAAATGTGGTAAACACAACCTTTTACTAATGACCTCCAATATGGTTTGCTGGTAATGTGAATATTTAGGGCATGTTTGGGATTGCTCCACGAACTCTACTCCACAAACTCCACTGTGGAGCAGCTCCATAAAAACCTGGAGTTTGTGGAGCACCCTGCATTAAGGTGCTCTCACAACTTCATATTTTTTCCTCGAACTGAGCGCGTGGAGCTAAACCTGTTTTGCTAAAAAACGTGGAGTGGAGCTAAAAAACATGGAGTGAAGTAGTCCCAAACACCCCCTTAATGGAGATGAGATAGAAATTCATATTTCATTAGAACCTCGTAGTCCATCTGTTTGGAAAGTGTAGCATATTGAAAGTTAGCTGTTTTTGTATCATAGTGCTTTTTTTTTTGCTTATGGCATCTGTTCCAAAACTTTTTTTTTACATTGTCAACAACACTGAACTCGTATTTCATAAACAAAAAAAAAAAACACACCGTTACGTACCCTGCATCGGTACAGACTATGGATCTCAACATACTCGAGCGTGTAGTAGCTGGAAGCGAGGAACCAAGCCATCTAGATTTGTCACTTCTACAGAGCATCACAGAAAATTTCTCTGAGCAGAGAAAAATTGGTGTTGGTGGATGTGGAGGGGTTTACAAGGTAACTGCAATTTTTATGGCACCACACCTTCATGTTTGTTCTTTTCATAGCATTACTTGACATAATGATCATAGTCTTTCTCATAATTAAGGATATTATAAACAGGGCATGCTTCGAAATGGAATTGTTGCTGTGAAAAGGCTTTTCAACAGCCGAACAATTAAAGACAAGATGTTCCATCGGGAGGTTCAAAGTTTGATCATGGTTAGGAACAAAAATATAGTACGATTTCTGGGTTATTGTTCTTTTACGGAAGAACGCGTGTTAATATTTGAAGGAAGAACAATTATGGCTGATATACGGGAAAGGTTGCTCTGTTTTGAGTACATAAGCAATGGAGCCATCTCACAGGTATGACTTCTTTTTACATGATATCAGTAGCTCTCCAATTCACATTATAAGACAGCAGATCCAATAATCAGCAATCTAACACAGTGCTTGCAAGCAAAAATATGCCAAACAAAAAATTAAACTAAGATCATCAACAGTGAAAACTAAATTAAAGAGCACAACAGAGAAATAATCTGATCATGAGTCAAATCCGTAATCATGGCCACTTCCTGAATTTTAAAATAAATTTGTAAATACTCAAGTAAACGCTATCAATATTCTTCTATTCATTTGCTTACATACAGTCCAGTGACCAAAGCGCACAACTGCATTTTCATATGATATGGTTACTTTCTTGATCGCACCATGCATCTTCACTACTGTAATCCTAACTTTTAAATTGCATTTGATGAATAATCATGGACAGTCTACAGATAAAAAAAAGGCCAACATTTTGTTCAATGCTCACTTGCACATACACTGGGCACGTTATTATTTATTTGCAGCTTCTAAAATACTCTTGATTCTTCATATACTTCTTAAGATGAACTGAGGGGACTTGAATGGCATACTCGTTATGAAATTATTGTGGGGATCTGCAAAGGTTTGCTCTATCTTCACAAGGAGAAGGATATCGTCCACATGGATCTCAAACCTGCGAATATACTGCTAGACGATCTCATGGTGCCCAAAATTACAGATTTTGGTCTATCGAGACTTGACAATAATTCACAAGCAGCAACCACATCGCGTCTTATGTCACCGTAAGCTACTAATAATACACTGTTGTTTCTGACACTTGTCTTCTTACAAGGTCTTTATGTCATAGCGTGTTGATATGTGTGTTCTTATCATGCAGAGGATATTGTGCTCTAGAATACAATCTTGAAGGCAAATGGTCCAGCAAGTCAGATATATATAGTTTGGGAGTAATGGTTACAGAGCTGGTGACAGGAAGTAAAAAGGGGCGTGATCTTACCAAAGTAAGAGTTGTGGTTATGTCATCGTTGCATGGATATGTCCTCTTTTGGTCATGATGCTAATACAAAAAACCTTGAATGAAAGTAGTTGAGCTGGTTATTTCACTAGTAAGATCAATCTAGAATGGAAAAGCACTTACGTTTCATTAGGGATAATTCCAATACAAAAAAACAATAAAAACGTTACTGTTTGATACTTCGCTTTCGTATATAATTGTCTACTTGTTGTGAGTCATTTTTTCTGTAGTTCTTTTTATTTCCAAAACAACTTAAAATTCTTAAATTGATTGGGCATCATTTCATACGAGGATCACATAGGAATTTCACATGAACATTATAGCTTGTTTACTGGAAACAGTGCAATTCTCAGATACAGGAATTAGGATACTTTTGACATATTCCACACCTGTGTTACTATAGCCAACAACGTCTCTTTAGTTGTATTATTAAGCCGATAACAATGTACATGTCATTTGCATTAAATATTTTGGTGCCAATTTGAATGGTTTTGTGTAAATGCAGGTACTTAGAAGATGGAGGCACAGGTGGATTAAATCATCAAAGCATACACCCTTGGGTTATCAACAAGTGACAAAATGCCTCGAGCTGGCCCAAAGATGCATCCAAATTAACCCGACAGACAGACCTGACATAGTATACGTAATGGATGAGCTCAACACAATAGATAGTAAGGGTGGTCAATTCCAGGTATGCCCTATGTGCTCCCTGAAGCTCAAGGGATCTAAAGCTTTGATAGGCTCTGGTAAAGCTAATGCATCTTTAATTTCTCCATCACAGGAAATCCCTTGCCTGGAGGACATGCTTGGGATTGAGCCGCTGGAAATACACTTCCCCTTTAAAGTTGACCCGCAGATATCACACTCAATTGAGCTGACCAACGATACGAATGATTACATTGCCTTCATGACAAAGGCAAGGTCACGCTGCTTCCGCATAGAGCCAGACAAGGGCATTGTCCCACCAGGATCCAAGTGTAGTGTCACCGTAACAACGCAAGCACAGGTCAATGCACTGCCAAATAATCACCACAAGGAGGAGATCACCGTGCTGAGCACCAGAGTAGATGGAGGTCTTGCTGCTCTGGATATAACTGGAGACGTGTTCATTGAGAAGGAGGGTACTGTGGTTGATGAGGTGAATGTGATGGTTGTTTTTGACAAACCACCACCGGCTGATGAGGAATCCTGAAAGAGTGAATGGCAGAATCAACTTCTTCTCTCTGTTGAGATTGGGAATTTCAAACACTTTAGGCCCGTTTAAGAATGGAGGTGAAACGAGGGAAAAGTCTGTACATTATTTCAAACTCTTAATTACTATATCATTATGTCCTCACATTATTAGAATATGAGTTTTACCTTATTCATCCATCATCTGGTTCATGTGTTCGCATTCCTGTGTTTTTTCATCCTCTATTTTGCACATTCATTCATTTTATATTCCTGTATTTTTCCTCGTTCCTATCAAGGGTGTCGAGGGATAGGGTAGGAGGACCCCGGCTACGTAGATCGTAGCCGCGATCTGTGGTTAGGGGCGAGGTTTTACCCCTCAACGCCCAGTTGTTTCAGCAGAGGAAGATTAGGGAATTAGGTAATTGTTCTTGCTTGATTATCACCATACTGAGTACAAGATTATATAGGCCATTCGGCCATAACAACTTGGAGCCAATTGCTCCTCAATCTAAGGCCATGATCGGCTCTACTGCCTTCAAGATACTTGCCTTCTTCCACGCGCGCATGCAGAGCCATTGGCCATGAACGGCATGTCGCGGAGTGAAGTCTGGTAGGCCGTATTGTAGATGTACTCGGCCTAGGACAGCCAGCGGAGCCATTGGCGAGGGCAGTCGCCGGTGAAGCAGCGCAGGTACATGACGATGACGCGGTTGGCCGCCTCTGTATGGCCATCCGATTGCGGATGGAAAGCCATCGTCATGTGCAGGTTGGTGCCCATGAGGCGCATGAGTTCCCACCAGAACGTGGAGGTGAACACCGGATCACGGTCGGACACCATGGACTGCAACACACTGTGGAGGCGTACAATGTCGGCGAAGAAGGCCTATGCCATGGACTCTACGGTGTACGGGTGAGCCAAGGGGATGAAGTGGCAGTACTTGCTGAAGCGATCGACCACAGTCAATATGACGGACTTCCCCCCACGCGCGGCAGCGCCTCCACAAAGTCGAGGCCGATGTCGATCTAGATGGCTTGCGGTACTGGAAGGGGCATGAGGAGGCAGGCTGGATGTAGGTGCTCCGACTTGTAGCGCTGGCAGGTGGAGCACGCGCGGACATAGTCCTAAATCAGGCGGCGCATGTTGGGGAAGTGGAAGTCACGGCAGAGGCGGTGCACGGTGCGCTGCACACCCTCGTGGCCGTCCTCGTGCACGGCGGTCATGATCTCCGACAACAGGGTCGACGTTGGTGGAATGTAGAGGTGGGAGTCGAAGGTCACCATGCCGTCGATCATGGACCACGGCGACACGTGGGTACCCGCGGTGATCTCATCCCGAATGGCAACGAGGGCCGGATCGGTGGCCTATGCCTGGGAGAGGCGCACGATGTAGTCGAACCGTGGTGCGGAGATGGCCAAGATAGCGCCCTCGTCGGTGTCACGGCGTGAGAGGGCATCAGCCACCGTGTTCATGGCGCCTGGCTTGTACTCGATGGTGAAGTTGAACCCAAGGAGTTTGCTGACCCAGTGGTGCTACAGAATTGTCGCGAGGCGTTGATCGAGGAGGGACTTGAGGCTATAGTGGGCCGTTCACACCAGAAAATGGTGGCCCTAGAGGTACGGTTGCCAATGGCAGATGGCGTGGACGAGGCCGATCAACCCCTGTTCATAGGTGGCGAGGGAACGGTGACGAGGCACGATGGGCCGGCTGAAGCAGGTGACCGGGTGCTTCTCCTAGATGAGCACCGCCCTGAAGTCGTGGGTCGAGGTATCGCATTCGATGACGAACGACTTGGCGAAGTCTGGCAACGCCAAGACTGGGGCCGATGTGACCGCGGCTTTGAGCACTTGGAAGGCCGCGTCGTCGTCGTCATTCTAGTTGAACCCCTCCTTCTTTGTGGTAGTAGCCCGCTAAGCCGAGGAACCCTTGCACTGCGCATGTCGAGCAGGGCTGGGGCCAGTCATGGATCGCTTGCACCTTGGCGAGATCCATGGCAACGCTGGCCTCGGTGATGATGTGGCCAGGTAAGAGATGGAGCCAACCCTGAAGGCGCACTTAGAGCGCTTGATGAAGAGGCGGTGCTGTCGCAGCACGGTGAGGATGGCGTAGACGTGCCAGAGGTGATCCGCCCAGGTGGTGCTATAGATGAGGATGTTGTCAAAGAATACAAGCATGAACCGGTGGAGGAAGGGGCATATAATGTTGTTCAAGAGGGCTTGGAAGGTGGCCGGGGCGTTGCACAGCCCAAACAGCATCACTAGGAACTCGTAGAGCCCATCGTGCGTGCGGAACGCCGTCTTGACGATGTCGACCGGACTCATCCGGACCTGGTGGTAGCCCGAGCGCAGATCAAGCTTGGTGAAGAACTTGGCGCCATGGAGCTCGTCTAGCAGCTCGTCGACCACCGGGATGGGGAAGGCGTCCTTGACGGTGATCACGTTCAAGGCCCGGTAGTCGACGTAGAAGCGCCACGAGCCATCGACCTTCTTGACAAGGAGGACCGGGGATGAGAACGCTAAGGAACTCTAGCGAATGAGCCCCTGGTCCAGCATGGTGGCGCATTGCCGCTCCAGTTCATCCTTGTGCGTCGTCGGGTATCGGTAGGGGCAAACGGCCACGGCCGCGTGGTGGAGGAATGTGGCAGAACCGCCTAATCTAATGCCTCCCAGGAGTACTTGTCTTCCATTAAACACTAAGTACTCAAGGGAGGACACTAAATTATGCAGTTCCATCGAGCACACCCCATGAGAGAACCTGAAAATCCACATTTTTCAACAGGATCATAAATGGGAGAATAAAGCTTACAACATTTTAGCCATTTCTTACATCATTTTTCATAGAACATCATAGTATAATATTTATTATTTATAACAGTAGAATATAATCATGTTATCAGAGTCTCAGCGGAAATAAAATCATTTAATGACAAGTTAAACATTAACATGATGATTCATTATATACATCATAGCAGGTTATAAGTTTTTTCATTGTAAAACATTTTGGGTGAAAGTTTCAAATAAACTCAATGTCCGCAACGTTAAGGAAATCCTCGCTGAGCCCACCAGGAGGTTTCCAGACACAAGTTCCAGCTCCACATGTTTCTGTCACTAGCAACAGTGTAGAACAAACCTTGAGTACTCAATTGTACTCCGCAAGACTTACCTGTCAGGAGGAAAGAATAGACTCCAAGGATATGTAAGGCTATCTGGCTTGTTGTTTTATTGCATCTGCAGGAGTATTACTAAACGTGCGTCCTTATATTCAATTTTATTAGCAGTTATCATTAGTTCATTAACTAACCATTCTATGTAAGCACCTGTGCTACTTTCAAGCAGGTGGTAAGCAATCAGAACTATTTTACCATCTTTCATATTCTAGTTCTTACTACGGTGCTAGACTGTAAACAAGTCATACCGGATTGCTCGGAGATTCACGAACCAATGTATCCTAGCTGGGTACCCCAAAACACATGCCCCGCTTGTACCCTAGGCACAAACAGGACTAACCCACCACTCTCCTGTCAAGGGGTCCAGGTCCCCGTCCAAACTTGGACTCCAAGCCCCCACACCTGAGTCCCAGACTCAGTGTGGTGCTTAGACCTCCACCATCCTTGCCTCCAATCAGTCGGTTCGGAAAGAGCCGAAACCCACGACAAGAGAGTAACGAGCCTTCTCTGCTCCCATAAACAAGTATGTGCTTAGGATAATAAGTCTGTGACCTACCTAGAACCCAATGCAACGACCGGTCCTTAACCGACACAGGCGGAACAAATGCAATCCAAGCGTCACTTGAATGCCAAACCCAAGTCCAGATCCAAAGTACCATTCCGCCCAATCTCCAATTATCATTCATATATATTTTCCAGGTGATAATAATATAATAGCAATAATAACATCTTTCCTATCTCTCGCGAGTGACAGACAATCACTCGACTTCTACCGTAGTCCTGTAGCATAGCAATCTACATGATCCTATCATACTAGTAAAACTCATAGGATAAGGATATATATATGCAAGTGGGTTTCATTCAACTCCTTAAACTTAATGCATAAGTATAAAATAAAATACAGAATAATAGGGGTTATGCACCGGGGCTTGCCTGGGTAAGATATAACCAAAATTAGCATTCCATCGGGGCGACACGATCCTCAAGACACCACCTTTCTGTTACTTCGGTCGACTCCATGATCCATCGTTGTTCCTATTATGGTATACATGGATGCAATGCAGAGACGTAAACAACCAACTGCAACCGTGACTCGTAAAATATGACTTACGCCTCTCAAGCTAACGAGCTAGTTCTAACGACGACCGTACTTAGGCTATGTATCCACATTGTCGAACAAGATGTTATTTTCCAATGAGTGTTTTAGTTATACAAACCCAAGTTGTTTCTTTATTCTATTCTATCGATTTAATATTTATTTGAAATAGGGCATCATTATCTATCTAGCAAAATAATTATTCTGGTGCTAAAAAAATTACAGTGAGCAGCTAATAATATTAAGAATTTACTGTAAAATTTTTAGAATCGACACTATCACCATTTTCTCACAAAAATTCCTACAAGTTCATGTTTTACCCATTTTAAGTGCTTCAAATTCATTAGTCTACTCTTGAAAATTCTATGAAACTAAGTGAACAAAATACATTAGCAGATAGGTCATGATTTGAGGAGCCTAACAAAATTAGTTTCACTATTTTTGGACATCTACACAATTTTGTCTGGAATTTACAAATTTACCTTAGAAACTAATTTGAAAAACGCTTTAGAAAAGAAAAGGCCGGTGGCCAACTATTCAGCCCAGCAACCTAAACGGCCCACGACGGGAAGCCTGCACGTGTAGCAGGCCGACCCAATAGGCCCGCAGCGTGAGCGCTCTTGCACATTTTGCGAAAGAGCCCCTAACCTATCGAGTTATTACGTGGAGCACTTGCGCACTATTCTGCAAGAGGCGCGCTTTGCAGAGAGACCCCTGAACTAGCCTATCTTTACCATGGGATGGTCCCCGATGGCCTGC